CGAGGCAATCGACGAATAACAGGATGATGAAATGAAATGAAATGAAATGAACTTTTTAAATAAATAACATGGGCCGAAGCGATAGCACAGCAGGTAGGGCGTTTGCCTTGCACGCGGCTGACCTGGGTTCGATCCCCAGCATCCCATATGGTCCCCCAAGCACCGCCAGGAGTAATTGCTGAGTGCAGAGCCAGGAGTAATCCCTGAGCATCGCTGGGTGTGACCCAAAAAGCAATAAATAAATGAATAACAGAATTAAAAAAAAAAAAAAGAAACTTAGAGCCGCCCCTAGCACTTCTGGGCATGTCCCCCTAAAGAAACAAAAGTACATCTCATTTATGTAACTTGTTTTGTTTGGGGGCCACACCTGGCTGTGCTCAGGGATCACTCCTGGAGGGGTTTGGGGGACCATACGGGGTGCTGTGCATTCAGCCTGGGTTGGCTGCATGCAAGTGGGTTGGCCCACTGCACTACCTCTCTGGCTCCTATAGGTTTTTTATTCTCTTCAACCACTCTAAAAAGGGTGCTCAACATTCAAAAGAACAAAAGCAACCAGTGCTGGCGTGGATGTGGTGGATAAGGGACGCTCTTTCACTGTTGGTGGGTATGCCCACTGGTCCAGCCTTTCTGAAAAACAATTTGAACATTCCTTCAAAAACTAGAAATTGAGCTTCCATATGACCCCGCAATACCACTTCTGGGAATACACCCCGAGGGTGCAAAAAAAAAAAAGCACGGTAGAAATAACATTTGTACCTTTATGTTCATTGCAGCACTGTTCACAACAGCCAACATCTGGAAACAACCCGAGTGCCTGAGAACAGACGACTCGTTAAAGAAACTTTGGTACATCTACACAATGGAATAGCATGCAGCTGTTAGGCGAGATGAAGTCATGAAATTTGCTTCTAATTGGATAGATACGGAGAGTATCACGCTAATTGAAATGAGTCAGAAAGAGGGAGACAGACATACAAGGGCTGCACTCATTTATGAAATATAAAATGCCATAATATGAAACTGACACCAAAGGACAGTAGACACAAGGGCCAGGAAGATTGCTCCATAGTTGGAAGCCTGCCTCGTGAGCGGGGGGAGAAGGCAACTGGAATAGAGAAGGGATCACTAAGAAAATGATGGTTGGATGGTTGGATGGTTGAATCGGTCTGGATTAGAGATGTGTACTGAAAGTAGATAAAGGACCAAAAATGATGGCCTCTCAGTTTCTGTGTTGCAAACCATAATGGCCAAAAGTAGAGAGAGAATATGGGAATATCGTCTGCCATGGAGGCAGGGGGAGGATGGGAAAGGGGGCGTATACTGGGGATACTGGTGGTTGGGAATGCGCACTGGTGGAGGAATGGGTGTTTGATCACTGTGTGATTGTAACTCAAACATGAAAGCTTGTAACTGTATCTCACAGTGATTTCAATAAAATAATATTTTTTTTAAAAGGGAGGGGTATGGTGCTGCCAGCAGCTAAATCTGTACCTGTGAGGCGAGTGTATTAGCAGCCTGACAGCACAGTCAGACTTTCAGATACTCTAAAATTGCTGCTGTGCCTTTGGCCAGACCCCAGAAACTTGGGGCAAAGTTTAGCAAGAAAGTAAATGGCCAAAAATTAGGTATGTGGGAGATACACCCACAAACCACCTCCGACTCAGCTATATAATTGGAGGCAAGGCCTCTCTGGTTCCTGATTGAACTGCTTAACGGCCATGATCCCAGAGACTCAGAAATGAATCTCAGAACCTAGGTTTTGCGCCTTGGCCTGTTCCCCCTGGTGGCTGGGTGACCACCATCCTCCAGAGGCCACTGGACAGTCAGGTTTGGGCCCACAGTGGCGAGACACATGGGGCCTCACGGGATGGGGGTGGAGCCAGCCCTTTCCTCCCCATCCCAACGAGACCCCGAGTCGCCACCCATAAATGGCCTCTGGCTCCTGATCAAGCTGCTTAACGGCCATGATCCCAGAGACTCCGAAACAAATCTCAAAACCCAGTGGCTTATGGCAGAAATACGTCCGGACCTCACAGCAGGTTACTGGCAGTGGGCCACCCCAGGTGGGAATAGGTTTCGTGCCTTGGCCTGTTCCCCCTGGTGGCTGGGTGACCGCCATCTTCCAGAGGCCACTGGGCAGTCAGGTTTGGGCCCTCAGTGATGAGACACGCGGGGCCTCATGGGATGGGGGTGGAGCCAGCCCTTTCTTCCCTGTCCCAATGAGACCCTGAGTCGCCGCCCATGAACGGCCTCTCTGGCTCCTGACCATGCTGCTAAACAGCCACGATCCCAGAGACTCAGGAACAAATCTCGGAACCTGGCAGGTTTTGGCAGAAATCCCTCCAGACTTAAGTGTAAAAATTTCAGAATTTCAAAATCACGCGGCCACTACTGCAGCCACGTGAAATCATGTTATTCATAACCTGCAATAGAAAACAAATTGTCTACTGTTGCCTTTTCAGCAGATCTGAGTGTTGGGGTAAAATCCCAAATAATAATGGTGGATCTGGTGTCAAAATATTGAATGTAATCAAAGTAGAGAGAGAGAAATGTGGAAATCATCTGCCCCACGGGTATGGGAGGGTGTGGGATGGGGGTATACTGGGGTTTTTGGTGGTGGAGAATGGGCACTGGTGAAGGTACGGGGGTGTTTCATTGTATGACTGCGACTTAAACCGGAAAGCTTTGTAACTGCTCTCATGGTGATTCAATAAATAAAATTATAAAAAAAAAAGTGAAAAAATAAAGCAAGGTGGAGTTCATGCCCAATGCAATCAGCTTATCTATCAGTGGTTGAATAAATAGCAGTACTCCTACATGAAAAAAAAAAAAAGGTGCTCAGGGGCAGGGTGTGATCGCTGGGACAGAACCTGCGCTTCCCACACGCAAAGTAGCTCCCTGACCTGGATGTGACAGATGTGACATTCTTGAAATGTCCCTCCAAGAGATGAGGAGCAGAGTGGTGTCGGCCAGGATGAAGGAGGGAGGTGGGTGAGAATACCTGTGCTTGTACAGACTGTGTGTGTGGACACACACAGGAGAGCCTGGTGCTGGGAATGATACATCATGGTGACTGCAGATGGTTATTACACAGACCATCACTCACACCCCCGTGTGAATACATGCCGTGCACTGTACCACTGTCGTTTCCTGGGTGGTGGTAGCAGCAGGAGGCAGACCCAGGACCCCAAGCATCCACAATGCCACTGAGGGCCTCCGCCCACCTCCTGGTTCCAATGTGATTCCACCGGGGGGGGGGGGGGGGGGCGTGCTGCCTCTGCAGGCGAGAGCTGGCTGGGGGCCCACAGGGTCCAGCCTGGGAAGCCACAATCCTCCCCAACCTGGAAAAAAGTTCTACCAGAGATGACAAACTTACAAATGAAATGGCACGGCTCTGGGGCTTGCTCTAATGTTCCAGAAAGGGGGGGTGGGGGGGAACACAGGAGAAACTGGAGCTGGGGGAGGGGAAGGATGTGTGATTCCTAATTTTGTGCTTGAGAACTTTTTTTTTTTTGCTTTTTCGGTCACACCCGGCAATGCTCAGGGGTTCCTCCTGGCTCTGCACTCAGGAATCACTCCTGGCGGTGCTCGGGGGACCATCTGGGATGCTGGGAATCGAACCCAGGCATCTGTCCGTGTGCATCTCTCCCAGAGTGGCCCCATTGGCCCCCCCATAGGCAGTGCTGAGATGATGGGGGCAGGGGAGGATGTGACAGCAGCCTTGGGTGCAACTGCAGGGGAGGGGGGCGCCATGTCTGTTCAAAGGGAGACACAAGGGAGCTGGGGGGTGGGGGGAGGACCAACGGATAATCCTTTCTCTAAGAGAGGCCAATTGGAATCCTTGGTCTCAGGCCTTACTCGGGCGTGATTCATGAATACAGAGTAGGTTCACAGGTTACAATTCTGTTTTCATTCATAAGTTTTTCTTTTTATTGAACTTTAACAGAGAACACAATCACATTCTTTTGGGGGTAAGGAAGGGGCTTTGGGGGCCACACCCGGCGATGCTCAGGGGTTCCTCCTGGCTCTGCACTCAGGAATTACTCCTGGTGGTGCTCCGGGGACCATGTGGGATGCCGAGGATCACACCCTGGTCGGCGGCGTGCAAGGCAAACGCCCTCCCTGCTGTACTGTTGCTCCAGCCCCACAATTCACATTCTTAATCTGGCTTGTTAACCTCTTTCCCTTCGTGAGTTCCCATAAAAAAATAGAAATTTATAAATATACCCGGGGAGATGCGTGCACACCTTACACAGCAGCAGGGAGGCGTACCGGCCCCCTCGGCCTCTCCGAGTGTCTCTCATCCAGGACAAACCGCTGGGCAGCCCCGGGAGCCCCCTCCTCCCCGACCCATCCACACGTCACGTCGCTGCCTTTTCTTCTCCCCTGGATGGGTTTTGCGAGATCTTCCCTCGGAGGCTGCTCAGATTCCAGTGGCTGGCCCACCGTCTTCCTTCCAACCTTGTCCTGGGGCGGGTGGGGGTGTGGATTCGGCCTCTCCGGCCCGGCCTCCTCAGCCTGGCCTCCTCGGCCTGGCCTGCTCTCTGCTGGCCTCCTCCCTGCACTCACAGAGCCAGCCCTTCCCCTTCCCACCCCATCCTGTGGGTGTAAGATCCGGTTCGTCCATCCCGCCACGATATAGAACAGCTGCCAGTCCCACGGTAGGGCAGGACCTGGCCGTCCCCGCACACATTCCGCAGGGGACAACAAAAGACAAAGCTCCGGGATGCTGCCGGCTCTGGGCTGTCATCACTTCAGCGCGGGGACCGAGGGAAAGGCCGCCTCTCGGCGGTTCCATGGGGAGAGGAGACAGGAGGTGCAGGGACGGTCACCCGCCACCCGTGATGCTATGGGAGGGGTCCAGGGGTCTCCGGTGAGTGGGCAGAGCACAGAGAATCCTTCTGGCCTGCCCTTACGAACTCCGAGAAAACCAACTCCTGGGATAAGAAACGAAGCCCACAGCCCCCCGCCCCCAGACAGCTGCGTCCTTGCTTTTGCTTCCTCCAGGGGAGACGGGGCTGTCGGGAGACGGGTCAGCTTTAAAGTCCTGACCAGGCGCACCCCGGCCGCCTGCCAGTGATGCCAGAGGCCCTTTCTCTTCCCGCCCAGGCAGGCTCTCTCCGAGGCTCATGAGAGGGACCTAGGAAGAAGAGGGACGCGTGGGCCCGCCTGCTGGGAGGACGGCCCAGGCGCTGGGCACTGCGGCTGTGGGGACAGGGCCACAGGGGGCTCTGGTCCTCTTGCTGGGGGCTGTTCTGCCCAGACCAGCAGAGAGCACTTGCACTCCAGCCTTCACTTTTTTTTTTTCTTTGCTTTTTGGGTCACACCCAGCAATGCACAGGGGTCACTCCTGGCTCTGCACTCAGGAATTACTCCTGGTGGTGCTCGGGGGACCATATGGGATGCTGGGAATCGAACCCGGGCCAGCCGCATGCAAGGCAAACGCCCTACCCGCTGTGCTATTGCTTCAGCCCTTCTTCTTCTTCTTTTTTTTTTTCAGCCTCTACTCTTTTAAAGAATCTTTTCTCTTTTGGGCCTGGGCCATGCTCGGCAGTGCTCAGGGGTCACTCCTGGTGGCATGTGGGACATCTGCCATGGTGCCGGGGATCCGGGGGGGCTGGCCGCATGCAGGGCACATGCTCGGTAGTGCTCGGGGATCAGTCCTGGTGGCGTGTGGGACACCCGCCGTGGTGCCAGGTGTCCAGGGGGCTGGCCGCATGCAGGGCACATGCTCGGTAGTGCTCGGGGATCAGTCCTGGTGGCGTGTGGGACACCCGCCGTGGTGCCGGGTGTCCAGGGGGCTGGCCGCATGCAGGGCACATGCCCACATCCCTGCACTCTCCGGCCCTCCAACTCACTTCTTCCTGCGGATCTTGGGTTTCTTCACAGGGCGCAGGTAGGGGTTATCGATGACGTTCTCCTCCCCGTTCCGGGTCCCCGCCAAAGAGGGGTTCTGCTGCAGGACTGAGGTGTTCTCCTTCTCAGCTCCAGAATCCTCCTTGGAGCAAAAGCCGAAATAAAGCAAAAGAGCAGCAGCCGGGGAATGAGACTTGCTGCCCGCATTTGGCAGTGCTCCTGCTGGGTGGGCTTGGGGGGACCCCACGGGGTGCCAGGGATTGAACCCGGGTCAGCCACGTGCCAGGAAGCGCCGTGCCTGCTGCACTCTCTCTCCTGTCTTTAAAGTCGCAAGGGTGTGCAGACAATGGGAGAAGGAACATGTTGAAGATAACGGTCTGTGCCCACGTCTGACGGCTTGCAGGCCACTCCAGCTCAGAGCTTGGGGGGGGGCGGCGGGCGGTGGTCCAGGGGCGGAACCCTGGGTCCCAGCCCGCAACGCCTGCACACCAACCCATCTCTGGGGCCAGCGCCGACATTTCTAAAGCTGGCTCTGGGAATACGACTAACTGGCTTTCTTCGTATTTAAGCCTGCCTATTTTCCAGGTTCTGAAAAGGAAGCAGAACGCGGCGGGGAGCGGAGAAAAAAGCACGGGGGGGGGGGGGCCTGATCCTGCCTGCAGACCTGGGTGCCGCGTGGAGGGTGCGCTGCCCCCTGGCGGCAGCCAAGGGATCGGCAGGGAGACTGCAGCTCTGCATCCGGGGAAGGCAGCCAGGAGTCAGGCAGGTTCAAAGGGACAGCGGCACTGGGCGGGGGTGCGAGGACCGTGCCAGCATGAAGATGCTGCCGTCAGACGGCACCAAATGAAAGCAGGCTCCCTGACTAGGGGCAGCAGCCTGGGATGCAGACGCCAGCCTGGGGGTTGGGCCTCAAGAGACAGACTCACTCCCACCCCTGCGGACATCCCCCCCACTCCCACACCCCTACTGTCTCCCTCTCATGGTCCTGCTGCTGGTTCCCCCCAAAGGACCCGACTCCAACCAGGGTCCCTGAGGGTCCCCTCCCATCAGCCAGGCCGGTGGGACCGGAGGCCCCTGGGGGCCCCACAACGGGAAAGAAAGCTGAAAGCAGGGCGGGCTGTGCCATCACCGCAGGGGAGAACGGCCCGAAACGCCGCTTCACCTGCCTGATGCCCACGAGAGCCACAGACGGAACACCCGCGGGGAGGCGGCCCGGGGAGATGGAACCGGGGCCTGACGGAGAACCGAGGCTGGCCGCGGGCCTGCCACAGGTGCCCTCCCAGGCAGCAGAGCAGGGGTCCCGTGCCCGCCCTAGCAGCCCCTCCTCCCACTGGCTCTGGGCAGCCTCAGACAGACCCTCTGGTTCTCGGGTCACCCATCTGGAGAGCAGCCCGCGGGCTGGGGGCGGGCACCGGTCCGCAGACTCTGTCCCCGGCCAGTCTCGGGGCCTGGGTTCACCCTGGTACGGCCTGTGGCCGGAGCAGAGCACTGCGGCCGCCGCCGAAGGCGAGCCCATCACTGCATCTCACACCAGATTAACCGGGCCCAAACCAAGGAGTGGAGAGAAACCAGTGGCACCCAGCCCCACCCTGACAGGGGTAATCCCACACTGAAGACACACGAAGCCACGCCAGGAGGGTCCTCAGCAAATTGAGGGACAACACCGTCACCAGCCGTCTGCCAATGGGGGCCGCAGGCGGCCGCAGAACACCGGGCCCAGCACCACGCAGGCAGCAGGTGCGTAGACGCTGGGAAACCAGATCCAGGCCCGACACCACTGCACGGCAGCCTCGGACCCGCTCCGCACGCTCTCCGGGAGCACGAGGGGCCTTAGGAGAACGCCTCCCTCAGCAGGAAGAGCGAGACCCCCAGGCGCCTGACGGGGGGGCCCCTCCTGGGCACTGGCCCACCCCCCACGCTCCCCCCCCCCCACACCCCATCCTGCCGCCTCTCCTCCCGGCCCGTTCCCATCCGCACACGGGCATCCCGGCAGGGTCCCCTCCCTCCTGTCCTCGAGAGGCCCCTGTGCTGACCACGCCACCTCCCTCCTTCCACACGGCAAGCTCCTGGGAACCGCCGGCCACGGGACTTCCTGTGACGACATGCGCGAAGGAGGCGGCACGAAAACTGAGCGCCAAGACTTCCTGGGGCTGGTGCCACGCGGGTGGTGCTCCGGACCCCAACATCATGCCAGGGACCGAAAAGCGGCCACCCTGTTGCTCCAGCTCTCGGGCGCCCTCCCTGCCCGCCTGCCCCTTACTGCGGGAGGACGCTGTGCCACCCAGGCTGTGCTCAGTCTCGGGGTTCAGGGGCTCCTCCCGGCGGTGCTGGGGAGCGAACCACGGTGGGCTGTGTCCCAAGCAAGTGCCACCCCCCCACCCCGTACTCTCTGGCCCTACTTTCTCTTTCTCTCCCCGCAAGCGTTCTCTTTCTTCCTTTCCTTGGGGTGCTTGGGGACCAAACCACACTCCATCCCCCCTCCGTCCTTCCTGACTCAGACCTGGAGGTGCTCAGGGGACCCCCATGTGCAGGCAAGCGCCCTCCCCAGCATGTCCCCCTCGCTGCAAGGCCAGCCCGGCACATTTCATGGCCTGGGACTCTCGAGGTGGGGATGCCAAGCCCCTGCCCACCCCCTGCACCCCAAACAGCAACTCCCACTCCGACGCCCACTCCCCCACCTGTGTGGGTGAAAGTCACATGGTTCAAACTGACCTCAGGCCCACCCACATCCGGGCTGTGTCCAACCCCAGCCTGTCCCGGGGAAGGCAGCGCCCTGTCTCCTGGGGTCGGGCCCCGAGTGTGCCCACAGAGCCTGGGTCCTCCGCCCCCACCTGACCCTGTCCTGTGGCTATCTCTCCTTCCCCCACCCCTACTCCTAGGGCTGCCTCTCTGCTGGGGGCCCGGCCACAGCGCACCGACCCCAGCGCTTCCACCCTCTGACAGCACGTCCGGGGGTAACAGAGCCAGGAAGGCCGACTCGCCCCCGCCAGCTCACTGACCTGTGGCGTGCTCACGTCACTGTGGCCTGCCTCCCTGTGGAGCAGGCTGCTGTTCAGGATGCCAGGTAGGTTCCCTGGGGGCCTCAGGGCCTTTGCATCTGCTGTTCCTCCAGCGAGGAAGGCTCTACTCCCAGACGTGTGCCAGCCTGCTCCCCTCCAGGTCTGCCCTACAGGGTCACCCCACCCCTCCCCTGACCTAAACCCACACCTCCTTCCCACAGCCTGTCTTACAACTCCAAGAGGACAGAGAGGACTGTCTATGCTGTCCTCACTCACGTCCCTCTGCCCTGCACGGCCCTGGCAGGCAGACTGCGTGTGCAGTTCCCTGGGCCCCCGGATCCAAGTCTGACGGAGCCCAGTTACAGAGGCCAGGGTGAGGGCATCACACGTGGGTGCTGGGTCGGGGGGGAGGGTGGGCGGAAGGCAGGACTCACCGTGCTGATATGCAGGGGGAGGTTCTCCGTGTCTGTCTGTTCGTCCTGTTCCGAGGAATCCGTCTCTTCCATCTGCTGCATCTCCAGCTCGGACGGAAGCAGGGCCGTCAGGTAGGGGATGGTGAAGGGCCGGGCAGCGATCACTGGGGGCGGGAAGACGGACAGACGCTGGGGCTCACACTGGCCGAGCGCTGGGGCCAGCGGCCAGGTCGTCAGGACGAGGAGCGAGCCGGGGCAGCGGGGAGGGCGTGGGGCAGAGGATGGGGGCGGCCCCATCACCCAGACCCTCTGGAGCAGGTGCGCTGCAGGGCTCAAGCCCACCCTCCCGGGGGCAGCCGTGATGAGCGCCAGCCGGAACCCCATCCTGCTCCTGGGCCACGTGGGGCTCTCCAGGGCAGACCCCAGTTCAAACACGGGGCTTGAGCACTCCGGGGAATGCATCCCGCTGCCCTCACAGAGGCACGGCAGGAAAACAGCGCCTGGGTTCTCGGAGAAGAGAAGAAATGATTCATTTAAAAAAGTTTTTGTTTGGGATCGGAGAGATAGTAGAACAGCAAGCAAGCAGGTCCAGGTTCGATCCCTGGCCCCCGAGTCTGCCAGGAGGGACCCCTGAACACAGAGCCAAGAGTAAGACCTGAGTACCAGCGAGTGTGGCCCAAAACCCGAAATTTAAAAATAATAATAATAATAATAATTTTGTTTTACAGGGTGCGAGAACTCCAGCAGGTGAGCACATGCACCACACACAGGAGACCCAAGATCGTTCCATCTGCGGCACAGACAGAGCTGCGAACCTCGCACCCTGCCAGGTGTGGTCCAGAAGAACAAGAAAACCAACCCCTGCCCCTCCCCCGCCACCAGCACCCCCAAATGCGGGGGGGGGGGGACAGGGATGTGCCTCACGCAAGCGCACAGGGCCTGGGCTCAGCCAGGAACAGGCGTCTGAGTCCACAACACAGCGACACACCCCGAGCTGGGGACTTGCCCCACCAAGGAGCACCCCCAAGACCCCAGCCGGCTCCGAGAGTCTCGGTTAGAGACGGGGCGGAGCCAGGAGGGAGGGGCGGGACTCCGGAGGGGGCGGGGCCTGAGCCGGAGGGGCGGAGCCTGAGCCGCTCGAGGGGCGGGGCGGGGCGGGGCGGCGGCTCACGTGGGAAGGTGCTGACGTCATCCTTGAAGAGGCTCTGGGTCTCCCCGGTCTTGGCCATGAAGCGGGTGAGCGCGCGCTCCACGTCCCGGCGCTGGGACGCGGCCTTCTCCCGCAGGACCTGGTAGTCGGACACGGGCTCCCGGTACGTCTAGAGGGCAGAGGCAGGGGGTCGGCTCGGGGCGCGCGGGGCGCGAGCCCGGGCGGGCTGCAGACAGGGGCCTCCCCAACTGTGCTGTGTCTCTCGCCCTCGGTGTTTTTAGATCTTAAAAACGAAGGAGCCACGGGGCTGGAGCGATAGCACAGCGGGGAGGGCGTTTGCCTTGCACGCGGCCGACCCGGGTTCGATTCCCAGCATCCCAAAGGGTCCCCTGAGCACCGCCAGGAGTGATTCCTGAGTGCAGAGCCAGGAGGAACCCCTGTGCATCACCGGGTGTGACCCAAAAAGTGCACACACACACACATACACACACAAATTAAGGAATCACGGGGCTGGAGCGATAGCACAGCGGGCAGGGCATTAGCCTTGCACGCAGCCGACCCGGGTTCGATTCCCAGCATCCCATATGGTCCCCTGAGCACCGCCAGGAGTGATTCCTGAGTGCAGAGCCAGGAGTGACTCCTGTGCATCTCCGGGTGTGACCCAAAATGCAAAAGAGTATATAGCACTGTAGAGCACTGTCCTCCCGTTGTTCATCGATTTGCTCGAGCGGGCGGGCACCAGTAACGGCTCACAACAATTGTGAGACTTGTGGTTACTGTGTTTGGCATACTGCATACGTCACGGGGAGCTTGCCAGGCTTTGCTATGTGCGGGGCGGAGGAATTGAACCCGGGTCGGCCATGTCGGCCGCGTGCAAGGCCAATGCCTTACTACCTGCTGTGCTATTAAAAAAAAGAAAAAATTAAGGAATCAGTCCGGAGCGACGGGCCACCAGGTCGAGCACAAGCACTGCATACCGGAAATGCCCCCAGTCCTGGGGGTCCCCCAAGCACAGAGCCAGATGAAGCCCTAGCACGCCTGCGGCCAACCCGGGTTTGATGCTTAGCGTCCCATATGGTCCCTGAGCACTACCGGGAGGGATTCCTAACACCTGAGTATCGCCGGGTGCGGCCCCAAAACAAAACAAAACGAAAACCTGAAAATCAAGGAAGCTGCAAGTGTCTGAAGGACTGAGCCTGTCCGTCATTTGGTTTCCATGACAGCAGTGGTCCGGCCAGGGCCCCACCGGGAGCCTGCCTGTCACGGAGCACCACGCCCTCGAGCAGGTGAGTGGCAACGTGCAAACTTTTGGTTTTTGAAGCCACCCTCACAGAACAAACACGCTATTTCAAATGATTCCTGCAGAGAATCACAGACTGAAGGTGTCAGTGTGGAGAGAAAAACAGCAGGTCTGACACTCAGAAATAGGAACATCTGGGCAGTCGTTCATGAGTGGAAAACAACTGAGAGTTTTGTTTGTGTGGGGGAGGAACACACACACACACCTGGGGGCGCTCAGGGCTTACTCCTGGCTCTGCACTCGGGGATCACCCCTGGCGGGGCTCAGGGGACCCTATGGGATCCCGGGGATCGAGCCAGATCAGCCACGTGCAAAGCAACCACGTACCTGCTGTACTCTTTCTTGACCGAACAATTAAGATTCTATCAGGGTAAGTTACCAGCCAGGACATTTGGAGCTGTGATGGTGAAGGTGGATATTCTTGCCTGTTTGTTTTCAGAATACACCCAGCTCTGTACTTAGGGGGGGGGTCACGCAGGGGGCCACGTGGTACCACTAACAGAACCCGGGCGTCCTGCATGCCAAGCCAGTGCTCTACCTGTCCTGGCCTTCCAGGTCATATCTTAGCAATGACGCCAAGAGCAACTTCTCTTTAAAACAAAAATACATTTGATTTTAATGGGGGAGGGGGGAGCTGTAATCTTTAAAAATATATATATATTTATTTTAGTTTACAATACTATTAATGGTTTCTCATGGACATAACTCCGGCACCACACCCAGCACCAGTGTCCCCGTCTCTCACCCCTCCCTCTCATCCTCTGCCAACTCAAATACGTGTTAGTTCTGCCAAATGTTGTCTTTGGACTTTTTCTTTGGGGAGGGGGGGGTGTGTTCTGGGCCACCGATGCTCAGGGGTTACTCCTGGTGGTGCTTAGGAGACCATATGCGATGCCAGGGATTGAACCCAGGTCAGCAGTGTGCAAGGCAAGTGCCCTCCCCGCTGTACTATGCCTCTGGCCCCGCTCTGGATCCTTACTGTTACCCTGCTAGGTATCTGTACGTCCCACGTATAAGAGATCATTTTGGATGTCTCCCTTTCCTTCTGGCTGTAATCACTCAGCAGACCCTCTACTTCCATCCACTGTGCTGCATATCACAAGATCCTGGCCTCCGAGATGCAGAGTTTATGTCCCCATCTTCTAGCAGCTAGGTGTTACAACCACCAACTAACCCCCCCACCCCCGTGCCATGTTATCCCATCAACGGCCAAGACCCAGGGACTATAAAACCCAGCTCCTGAACGCAGCCTCACGACCTCTTATTGTCTAGTTCTCTCTCTTGCAGAACCCGACAGGCTACCGAGTGTATCCTGCCCACACAGGAGAGTCTGGCGAGCTCCCCGTGGTGTATTCGATATGCCAAAACCCAGTAACAATGATGGGTCTCATTCCCCTGACCCTGAAGGAGTCTCCAATGTGGCACTTGCTAAAATCTCAGGGCTAGGACGAATGGCGACATTACTGATGCCTGCTCGAGGAAATCAATGAACAACAGGAGGACAGTGATAACAGTGATAGAGTGATGTACCAAACAGCTTCTTGATGCATTTATCTGTAGTCGGGCAGATGGGTTGTTTTCTTATCTTGGCTCTTGTACTAAGTGCAGCAATTAACAGTAATTAATATCCTTTCAAATTAAAGCTTTTGTGTTTTGGAGAAAGATGCCAAGCAGTGGTTATTACTGTTTCATCTGGGATTTCTAGTCCTATTTTGGGGGAAATCTCCAAATTCCTTTTGACAGAGTAATTCCCAGAGGACATTCCCACCAACATTCTCACCATACCCTTGGCAACACGGATTCCAGGTTTACTGATATGTGCTCTTCTCACGGGTGTGAGCTGTGAGGTGGTATGAAAACAGGACTTTTATTATTTGTTTTGGTTTTGGAGGTCACGGTGCTACTGAGGGGATCCCATCATCCCGAGAACAAACAAGTGCTCGGAGATCACTCCCAGCAGTGCTCGGAGGACCAGGCAGGGCTAAGACTCTAACCCAGGGCGCATCTAAGGCTTAGCCACTAAACCACATCCCCAGCTCCCATGTTTCCTATTTCTACTGATAAGCATGAAATGGTAAGAGTTAAGATCAGGAGCGATGGCACAGCGGGTAAGGCATTATTGGCCTTGCACCCGGCCAATCCAGGTTCGATCCCCAGCATCCCATATGGTTTCCTGAGCACTGCCAGGAATAATTCCCGAGTGCAGAGCCAGAAGTAACCCCTGTGCATCGCCGGGTGTGACCCAAAAAGCAAAAAAAAAAAAAAAAAAAAGAATTAAGATCATTACATCATTACATCTTTTTATGACATCTTATTATCTCATTCCTACTTTGGACAAACTGGCAGGCTACCGAATGTAGCCTGCCCACACGGCAGAGTCTGGCAAACTCCCCGTGGCGTACCCAATATGCCAAATATCATTAACAATGATGGGTCTCATTCTCCTAAAGAGCCTTGAATATAATCTCAGGGCTAGGATGAAGGAGACGTTACTGGGGCCTGCTCGAGGCAATCGACGAATAACAGGATGATGAGTGAAAAAAATGAATGAAGATCATTACGGGTTCAACCGTGGCTTTCTTAAGAGCCAAACATAAGGGCCTGCTCTGCACAGAGGGGCCTCATGTTCAGTCTTGGCACCACATGGTCTCCAAGCACCGCAAGGGTTCTTCCTGGGGCTAGAGCGATAGTACAGTGGTAGGGCACCTGCCTTGCATGCAGCCAAACCGGGTTCGATCCCCAGCACCCCATAGCATCCCCAAGCACCTCCAGGAGTAATTCCTGAGTGCAGAGCCAGAAGTAAGCCCTGACCATTGCTAGAAGTGGCCGGAAACAAAACAGAAAAAAAAAAGAGGGGGAAGGATTCTTTGTTCTTTCAGAGTTTCAGAGGGAGTCTTAATTCTCAAGTTCTAGCCTTGAGAACCGAGAGATGCATTTCTGTTGTGTCCCCCTGTTTAGGGCACCTTGTCCCAGCAGCCTCAGGACACTGGGACAGAGGCTACTTCTGGTCAGAGGTGACGTGGGCAGCCTGTATGTAAGGTATGGAGAAGCACCCGCAGGACCACCCACCCAACAGCCATGTGACAGTCCCCACTCTCACACTTCCATGGTGCCCGGGGGGGGGGGGGGGGGGGGGGGGGGGGGAGGGGGTGGTGAAGTGTGTGGAAGGGCCTGGGGGAAGATACACTGCCAGTCAGGCACAGAATGCCTAAGGAACCACGTGCAACTCTCTCCCCTTTGCCCTGGAACTCAGGGACGGCGAGTCCCATTCCAGAACGGGACTGAACATGTGTCCGAACTCACTCTTTAACTTCCCTAGGTAGGGTAGTGTGTTTGCCTTGCACACAGCCAACCCAGGTTCGATCCCCGGCATCCCACAGAGTTCCCTGAGCACTGCCAGGAATGATTGCTGAGTGCAGAGCCCGCGAGTAACCCCTGAGCCCGCTCATTGTGGCCCCCCCAAAAAAACAAATCAAGGACTTTTATGGGAAATTCGGGAAGCCCAGCAAAGCGCACGCTGCCTAACAAAACCCCCCCAAATCCCTCTAAGAAAGCTGTGATGTGCTTTGGCCTTTGTGCCTTCTGGTTCCTTCTGGAGGTCCCCGGGCACCTTGGCGCTCAGGTCGACGGACTCCTGCCCATGTCCCTCCCCGGCGGGCAGCAGCCCCGACACTCACCGGCGTCTTGATGTAGGTGTGGGGGTCGGGGAACTCAGGAAAGTGGCTGGGGATGTGCGGCGGGTGGGGCCGGTTCTGGCCTGCAGTGAGGGCCTTGGGGGTCACCGGCTGGTTGGTCACTGGAGCTGCAACGGAGTCACACCCGGTTACTCCTCCACCTGCTTTACCCAGACCTGCCTGTTCTCCCACGGGACACAGGGCCTCGATCCCAGAGAACAGGCAGAGCAGATTTCTACCAGAGACACAGGGACGCAGACGCAAGACGGCCACCCCCAGCCGGGTGAGCGCGGGTGAAGGGGTTCCATCCACGTCGGGGAGTGGGAGTGTGGGGACAGAGGCCAGTTCTCCTCCCACGGATGCCAGATGACAACTACATACAAAACACACAGGGCCTAAGTGAAAATGCCATTTCCCACGGGGGAAGAAGGTCACCCAACCTCTGGTGTAACAGGAAAGGTGGTTTTGGAAGAGACACAGTCTGCCACTGTGACCCGACAGTCCCCCCAGGCCCCGGCGAGGGCGGCTGTGCTCACCCACTGTGAAACTTTGGGCCGGAGAGAGCACAGAGGGGAGGGGGCTGCCTCGAAGGTGGCCAGCCAGGTCTAAGCCCCAGAGCCCCACCAGGAGTGATCCCTGAGCACAGAGCCAGGAGTAAAGCCCTGCCCCCCTCCACCCCCCCAAAAAAAAGTTTACCACGTGAAGAACAAGAACATTCCTAACCCCAACCCCAACCGTCTGTCTGGGGCAACAGCCCCAGGCAACTGGACATCCCCTGCCACGCACAGCAGCCCAGTGCTGGTGACCCTGCAGTGGCTCCAAATGATGGAAGGGGGACCCCCCCCCCAGGTGGTTACAACGAGGCAGACGGGACCAGGCCCTGCGGCTGAGACCTCCACCCGCAGGAAGAGGGCCATCCCGGCCGCCTATGGGGGTCCCGGTCACTTACGGGCAGTGATCACCATCCGCTGAGACCGTTTTGCGTAAGCAGGCAGAGTGTCCACGTTGAAACCTAGAAAGAGGCGGGAACACGAAAGCCGTCTGGGAGACTGGACGTGGGCAAAGGGCAGGGAGAGAGCGGGGAGAGCAGCGCAGAGTGCCCGGGAGCAGCCGCTCGGGGCAGACCCCTCTCACTCCCGAGCCAGGAAGCCTCTGAAAGGGGCTCAGGGGCATCCTCTCAGGCCTTCATTTCGGGGAGAGGGGACTCTCCCGAGCAGTGCTCACGAGGCCCAGGGACCCCTCAGTGGCACTTGGCCAAACAGTTCGATGCCTGGACCCAGTGGTACTGGGGTCACCGGGAGCACCCCGAGAGGTGCCGGGGATCTCCAGGGCTACTCCCAGTGCTCAGGGCGGGGGCGGGGAGAGTCCCGAGCACTGAACTCAGGGCTCATGCACGCACGGCACGAGTCCAGCCACCTGAGCGCTCGCTCCAGCCCAGAAACCCTCCCTTAACCCAGAGAGCGCCATCGGCACGAACCCTCCCCCTGAGAACCACCCAGCCGTGCTCCGCGTCCCTCCCACTGGGCCCCGAGGAGCCAGCCAGGGACCACACTCACCCATCTCAACCAGGGTGACCACGATGTCCGACAGCGTGGGCTGGGTGCGCGCCGTGTGCTCACAGTACGACTTGGCGCTCCTTCCGATTTCCGAGATGTCTGCAGGGGCGAAGGCAGCGTCTCACCTCGGGTCCCCGGGGGGAAGCAGTAGATGCCCGCAGGACACAGGGCCTCCACGGACGCACAAGACCCGGCGCTTGGAGCAGAGGCTTCCCGAGAGCCGGCAGGCGGGAGACCGGGTGTCCCACCACAGAGGGAGGGACGCACAGTACATGCCTTCAGCGGGGAATGAACACGAAACGCCAGCACACACTGCCGCATAGGTGACGTCTGAACGTCTGAAAACACTACGCCAGGCCAGGCGCCGGGAGCCCGGTGGTCAGCGCAGCCAGGGCTGCTCTGCCGTCTGGGCCCCGGCCACCCTGACTGAGCCTCACGCCAAGGCTGGCTGAGCGCAGCACCAACTCCGAGGGGAACCCAGCGAGCACCGCGGCCGAACGCACAAGCACAGCTCCTGGAACGGGAAGCCCCCGGGGCCACCTCTACCCCGGACACACGGCCAGGACTGTGACCCCCACTGTCAGAACCACAGCAATAGGGGACGGAGCCACAGCACAGCAGGGAGGGCGTCTGCCTTGCACGTGGAAGACCCAGGTTCGATCCCCGATGTCCCATATGGTCCCCGAGCCCGGCGAGGAGTAATTCCTGAGCGCAGGAGTAACCCCTGAGCACTCTGGGTGCGGCCCAAAACAACAACAGCAAAAAAAAAAAAAAAAGAAAGAAAGAAAGAAACCAAGAAAAGCAGATGCCACACATAAAAATGTCAAGTGATTTAGGATTCCACTTTTTTCTTTCTTTCTGGGCACACCCAGAGGTGTTCAGGGCTTTCTACTGGCTCTGCACTCAGGAATCACTCCTGGCAGGTCTCACGGGATGACACGGGATGCCGGGGATTAAACTTGAGTCGGCTGCATGCAAGGCAAGTGCCCTACTCGCTGTACTAAATCCCTCCAGCCCGCTCCGCATTTCTTTTTTAAAGCAGACTTATTGGGGGACGGGGGGCCACACCCAGGAGTGCTAAGGGCCCTATATCAGGGACTGCTCCTGGCAGGACTCAGGGAACCAGACAGGCGCCGGAAATGGAACCGGGGAGGACCTGTGCAGACCAGCGCCTTAGCCCTACGCTGTCTCCAGGCCTTCCACTGTCACCACCCTAGAGGCCTCCCCGCTGATACCTGGTCCAGTGGTGCAGATCTGATTGAGGATCTGGGGTACAAGGACAGAGACATAGTGCTTGAGGTCCGACAAGGCTAACGCCCACGGTGCTTGGAGCCTGAGAGGGCCCGTGGTGCCAGCGGCTAAACTTGGAGCCTGCACCCCACTCCTCTGAGCTGACTCCCCAGGAGTCCTCTTTTTTGTTTTGTTTTGTGGACACACTCAGTGGTGCTCGGGGATCAGGGCTGACTCTGCACTCAGGACTATGCGGTGCCGGGGATGGAACCCAGGTCAGCTGTGTGCAAGGCAAATGCCCTATGTGCTGTCCGATTGCTCCCACCCCAGGCTTAATCTCTTGTGCTGCATTTGGTTCCTCAGGCACCACTGGGAGTGACTCCCGGGCACAGACAAAAGAAATAGACTGGAAATTACTACAGGCTAGAAGGAGAAAGACAAGCGAGGGAGAAGGAAGTAATCATTTATGGGCACAGCGTTTCTATGTGGAGTGATGGGAAACTCTGGAAATGGATAGTACTGTCAGTTGACAACACGTCTGAATACCACTGAATTCTACACACACACACACACACACTCTGCAACCTCTACTCAAGTCAAATACCGTCAGGCGGAAGGCAGGGGTGGGTGTGACCAGGGCATTCTGGGTGGGCACTGCAAGTACCTGGCAGGGTCCTTGCAAGCCCTGAAATTGTGCTGAGGATTTTTCTGGAAATGAACCTGAACTTAAAAGAGGCCCCGCAGGGTGGGGAACCCCTGCTCGAGGGGCCGCACAAGTTGAGAAGATAAAAGGAGGTGCTTGGTGGGACAGAGTGTCCCGCCAAGACTGACCCGTGGACCCCTGGGCAAGGCAGGCACCACACCCAGCATCCACTCCTGAGAGCAGGCAGCATCCGTTTCCTGGGGAGAGATCCCCGTTAGATTGGCGGGATCTTAGACATCAGTCAGAGACAATACAGAAGGTGAGGTGTCTGGTCTTGCACGCAGCAAACCGTGATTGGATCCCCAGCGCCACATATGGTCCACGGAGCATCACCAGGAATGATCCCTGACTGCAGAGCCTAGAGAAACGCCTGAGGATGTGAGGGCGATCTGGCTGCGACATCTGTAACCCCACTGATCGCCAGGGTTGATTCGGCTGATCTGGCTGGCTAGGCGGGTGTCCCCTTCCTCCCTCACCGCTCCATGTGCGTCCCTCCTGAAGCTGCATGCTCGGTCGAAGAGGATGGCCTTCCCTGAATAGAGATGGACTGGTCTTCGGTCGAGGGTATACGAGTAGCTGCGCTCCCCTGCTAGAACCTCCAAACAAGCTCTCTAGAGTAACGCCTGAGCATCACGGGGTGTGGCCCAAAACAAAAATTCAAACAAGGGCTGGAGAGGCAGTACAGCAGGCATGGTGTTTGCCTGACACGCGGCTGCCCTGGGTTCGACCTCCAGCGCCCCATACGGTCCCAAAGCCTGCCAGGAGTGATCCCTGAGCACAGAGTACCCCTGGGTGTGGTCCCCAAACCAAAACAAGTCAGGCCAGACAGCAGTTGAAATATCTTCACCCAGAAAAAAAGAAAAACAACAAAAAACTGGGGGCTGGAGCGATAGCACAGCAGGTAGGGCATTTGCCTTGCACGCAGCCAACATGGCCGACACAGGTTCGATTCCCAGCATCCCACATGGTCCCCTGAGCACCACCAGGAGCAATTCCTGAGTGCATGAGCCAGGAGTAACCCCTGAGCATCGCCGGGTGTGACCCAAAAAGAAAAAAAAAAAGAAAGAAAAACTGGGGCTGGAGCAATAGCACAGCGGGTAGGGCGTTTGCCTTGCACGTGGCCCAACCGGGTTCGATTCCCAGCATCCCATATGGTCCCCCGAGCACCGCCAGGGGTAATTCCTGAGTGAAGATCTAGGAGTGACCCCTGAGCATCGCCAGGTGTGACCCAAAAAAGAAAAAAAAAAGAAGAAATATCTTCACACACTTGTCCTTTCTTAGCCCAGGAGATGCAGGGAAGCCAGAGCAAGGTGAACAGCAAACAGAAACACCAGGAGATCTTTGCACTCTAAATCCAACGGGCAGTTTTTGTTTTTCTTTTTATGCAGCAGAGATAAGAAAATAAATGGAAAAGCGCAAGGCATGCATTTTATCAATTCCCTGGTCCTAACTTCCAAGATCATTTTTTGTTCTTGTTGGGGGGGTGGGAGGGAGGAAGGGTAGAAATCACACCAGTAATGCTCAGGGATCACTCCTGGTGGTGCTCAGGGGACCATATGGGATGCTGGGAATCGAACCTGGGTTGGCCGCGTGCAAGGCAAACGCCCTCCCCGCTGTATTATGCTTCCAGGCTCACTTCCAAGATTTCTTAAAGAACAGACTCCCCATGCTGGCCAGGGAGAATGCAAAGGGTCATGGGCTTCACATGTGGGAAGCCTGGGTTCAGTCTTCAGCACCGCATAGTCCCCTGGGCACTGCAGAAGCAACCCTGAGCCTTTATGAGCCAGGAGTGCTTCATGAGCACCACCAGTGTGACCCCAACCCCCCACCCCCCAAAAAACAACCCTACCTCATTAACGTAGGGAATGTGGATCAAATGGGAGGGCTCTGGGTTCAATCTCTGGGGCCAGAGAGGATGCCGGGATAGACCCTGGGTCTGCTGCATGCAAGGCAAGCGTCCTACCCACAGTACTAGCCTCTATAGCCCTAAAAGTTTTTTGGGTTTGGGGTCACACCTCGAGGTGCTCATGACTTACTCCTGGCTCTGTGCTCAGGGATCACCCCTGGTGGTGCTCAGTGGACCATATGGGGAGCCTGAGATTGCACTGGGTCAGCCGCATGCAAGGCAAACTCCCTCCCCACTGTACTACTGCTCTGGCCCCCAACGTTGGTTGGTTGGTTGGTTGGTTGGTTGGTTGGTTGAATTCTCTATTTGATTCACACACGCTCTAGTGTATGACGTAGCAGCTGATTACATAAAGTGGCAGCATCTGTTTCATGACTCACCCACAAGGGTGTTGCGAGTCCTTTGGGCAGGGAGAACCAACAGCACCCACAGGTGATCGGAGCCACTCCACCCCCGCCCCTCTGCTCCCTGAGTCCTCTCTAGCTACACCACCAGGCAGAGACGGGACAGGGGCCGGCGAGACCAGCGTTTCCCGGTACTCACAACTCTGCAGCATCTCTGTCAAGGTTTCCACCGACGCTTTCTCGGCGCTCTCGAACCCCGCCTCTGTCAGCAAGGAGCTCACCACCACTTGCAGAGTTCGCCTCCGGGCCAGATGGTAGTTATCAGCCGGGTTAGTGGACTGCTTACTTCCTGATCTCTGTCAATCAGCAGCCCAGACGAGAGATTTTCAGCCACAGGACAAGGATACAGTCACACAATTTTCACACCGGCAGACAAAGGTTCCTTTACCACACTATTTATCAGTGCTTAATTAAATGTGGCAGTTGGGGCTGGAGCGATGGCACCGCGGGGAGGGCGTTTGCCTTGCACGCGGCCGACCCGGGTTCGATTCCCAGCATCCCACAGGGTCCCCCGAGCGCCCGCCGGGAGTAATTCCTGAGTGCAGAGCCAGGAGGAACCCCTGTGCATGGCCGGGTGTGACCCAAAAAGAAAAAAAAAAAAAGGCAGTCCCTGACGTTCAGGACTACTGACTTCCATCAGGGGTCAACTCTGGCTCTGCACTAGTGGGGCCACGTGCAATGTCCAGGGGATGGAGCCAAGGGCTACTGCAAACAAGGCAGGCACCTTAACTGTACTCTCTGGCTCATGCGATCTACAGATTTTGATCAACTATTTTTTTTTAAATAATGTTGGAGTCCTGCTACTTATTCTGCCGTTGATTAAGCTGGTTGTACTGGGCATGAACTCCGCATTGATCAACTATGAAGGGGCGCTAAAAGTGCAATAATTACCACCGAGAGCTTTTCTGCATACCTAAAACTTAAAATTCTGGCAATACGAAATGGCTCTATTCTATTCGAATAATAAAATGACCTTTCTTGGGGTTGTGTGGGGAGCCACACCCAGCCGTGCTCGGGGACCCCTACTGGGGGAGGATACGTGGTGCCTGGGTTAGAACCCGGGTGGGCTGCGCACAAGGCAACGCCTCACCCACCGGACTATCCCTCAAATGTGCGCCGAAATGAGTGCAACAGGAGCTGGGGCAGGGGGAGAGGCCAAGAACAAGCAGCCCAGAGCAGCAGCAAAAGATTGCTACATATTTTGAAACGGGAACCCCGCCCAACTTCGGCTGGCCAATAGGAGGGCAGAAGCGGCGTCTTGGGCCCAATCAGGAGGTGTTCCGGGTCCCAAGTCCCGCCCAGAGGGACCAGCCAATCAACGGGCCAGCCGGCCAAGTCCGGAGGCCGCTCCAAGCGCCCCGCACAGGCGCCGTGTGAGGCCCGAAAGGCCCCTGTCCACGCGGAGCTCCTGGCGCGGCGGGGCTTCTCAGGACGACTCGATGCCCAGCACGGGGGCAGCTCCAGACTGCCGGGACTCTCTCGGCTTCGCCCCGCGCCTCCCGCGCTTACCGTTCCGGAGCTGCCGGCCCCGGCCGTAGCCGCCGTGTCGGCCATCTTGCTCTGGCGTAACGAACGTGCGCGCGCGGAGCACGCTGGGACTTGTAGTTGCGGGGCGGGGCCAGGCGGCGGTGGGCGGGGCCCGGCGGAAAGGGGTGGGGCCAGCGCTCCTCTGTGTGTGTGTCTGTGGCTGTGGCTGTCTGTGTCTGTGTCTGTGTGTGTGTGTGTGTGTGTGTCTCTGTGTGGCCATGCCCAGCGATGCCAAGAGGTTCCTCCAGCCTCTGCACTCAGGAATTATTCCTAGCCCTAGGGGATTATGTGGGATTGCCAGAGATCTAACTGGGGTTGGCCATGTGCAAGGCAAGCGCCCTCCCTGCTGTACCCCCCCCTTCCAAAAATACGCTTTTAAAGGGAATGTCTGCCGGGTAGGTGCGTGGGGGTGCATTTTAGGACCCTGGCTCCCCTGACTTTCGGAGAGCACAGCGCTCTTTGGGTCCCGGGGATTCTTGCCAGGAAAAGGTGCTCTCTGTTTCACCTAATACTGAAAGAGATGGCCTCAGTTTTTTCCCTTGCCAGCTGCTGTGAGCAGTCCCCACCCCCCCCCTTTTTTTTTCTGGCTGGTCCATCCTGCGTGTTTGACCTCCTGCGAATTTCTGGGCTTTTCTGATAAACAGGGAGTTAACAATTGTCCATCATAAACTTCTGCCCCAGAGCTTAGGCTCACAGGGAGACTTAAAAAAAAACCCAACAAAATAAAAACGCATAGTACCTGAGGCAGGTGGCCAGGAAGACTCCAGCCATCCAGCCTGCCTGCCCACCCTGTGGACTCCCTGCATTCTCTGTCACACTCGGCCACGGCTGAGAAATGCAATAAACTTCTTTCCAGCTCTGAGTCTGAGCATCTTTAATTACTCACTACTGTCATTCTTGAAAATGCTGGGACTGGAGTGATAGCACAGCGGGTAGGGCGTTTGCCTTGCATGCAGCCGACCCAGGTTCCATCCCTGGCATCCCATATGGTTCCCCAAGCACTGCCGGGGTAATTCCTGAGTGCAGAGCCAGGAGTAACCCCTGAGCATCCCCGGGTGTGACCCGAAAAGAAAAAAAAAAGCTGAAAAAGGGGCTGGAGCAATAGCACAGCGGGTAGGGCGTTTGCCTTGCACACAGCGGACCCTGGTTCCATTCCCAGCATCCCAGATGGTCCCCCGAGCACCGCCAGGGGTGATTCCTGAGTGCAGAGCCAGGAGTGACCCCTGAGCATCGCCGGGTGTGACCCAAAAAGCAAAATAAAATAAAATGCTGGATAACCTGGGAACAGACCCTCCGCGGCCGCTCCAGCGTCGTGGGCATCACCAGTGTGTGCCAAGGAGCCAAAAGCCCTGGGGTGCCCTTGCTCGCCCAGCCGGGACGCACTCCTGCGGGGCGACCCTGGAGGGTGCACTGGGAAGCCCCCCGGTGACTCTCCGCAGCGGGAAACGCCCGGTCCGGGGAGCTGGCGCGGGACCCGCCGAGAGCAGCGTGCAGGGGTGCGCTCCCCGCGCGCTCGGGGGCGGAGTCGGGTACCGACCCCCGTTTCCTGCGAGCCGCGCCCGCGGCGGCGGAGCCTGCTGCTGGGGGCACGCCCCTAGGGGACCCTCCTCCCATCCCCAGCCCAAAGCCCGGGCTGCAGACGCGCGGCCGCCACGATCTGGACCTGTCCGGGAGGTGAGCCTGGAGCGATGGGATGGGGGGGAATCCTGGGGGTAGGGGCGCGGGGGTGGGTGGGGTGGGGTGGGGGGAAACGGGAGGGTCCGAGTGTTAGGGGACTGGTTAGGGGTCGGCATGCCCTTACCAGGTCCCTGCGGGTCCCTAGGCTGGACTTCTTTTGCTCCAAGTGAGCTGTTGTCGGGTGGAAGGACAGGAAAGCCCCCCTTCTTGGCCCCCTTCAAACTGTTGAGAGGCCAGCGGGAGCCCTGCCAGGAGGAGGGGCGGGGAGGGAGGGTCCCTCGCGTCCTGGGTGTTCGTCGACGAGGGGCGTCTGCGTCGCTTTCTCGCCGCCAGTGACCACCCCGAGCGCAGGAGAGATACCCGCGATGCGTTTTGCTCTGCGCGTGGCGCACCTGGGTTCACCCCCGGCACCCAGCACAGGGTCCCCGAGCTCCACCAGGAGTGACCGAGCCCCCAGCACACACAGAGCCAGGAGTAAGCCCTCAGCACTAGCCCCCCCCTCAAACAAGCTAACACGAAATGATGAGGCATGACTGAGCTGCGGGGTGCGGGTGCTGAGCCTTGGGGTGCGTTTGGTGCGGGTTTGCAAAGCTTGGCTGGGTAGCTGGGAAGCCTTCAGAGAGACCGATGATATTTGAGCAGGGTTCGGGGTGAACGCTCTCAGAACGGGCATGGTGGCACGGCGTCTGGAACAGGGGACACTTAATGCTACTCAGAGCCACACTGCACCCTGACCGGTGGGCCCTGGGAAAGGGTGCCCCACGGGGTGTGTGTGTGTGGGGGGGATCTCTGCTCTGACCCCACTGTCTGCGCCTGAACAGGAGGGGAGAATGGGCAGGTGGGTTCTGGGAAAGTCAAGCTTCCCCCCCCACCCCCCCACCCCCGGGCAATAAGGTGCAGGGCACACCTGGAAGGTGGCAACACACACAGTTCTGGGCTCCCACTCCCCGTCCCTGCACTTGAGTCCATTTTCTCTAACCGGTTCTTGTGCGGACCACTGCACCCTACCTGTTCTCTGGGGAGGCGGGGGGGGTCGACCGTGAGGGGACCCCCGCTGCCCTATTGCCGGTGGTGGGTTCTTCTGTTCCTCTGAGAGAGGACAGATACGGCGATGTGTGGGTTCAGCTGCCACCTGTGATTGTGGGGGTGCTCTCTGTCTCCACAGGCTGTGTGTTGGGAATACAGTACTAGAGAAGCCAACACACACACACACACACACACACACACACACACATGCATACATACACACCCCGTCTAGAACTGGAAACACGCCTTAGAATTCCTGCAGGACCCCCAGCATGCCCAGTTCTTCGCCCTGGCCACCAAGGTTCCAAGGTGCCAGCCCCTCCCTCCGTGGCCTTCCCTCAAGAACTCCAAGTCTGGACCCCCGGAGTCCAGCACGGCAGGGAGGGCGCTTGCCTTGTACACAGCCCACACGGGTCCGATCCCCGGTATCCCACGTGATTTCCCCACACGCCACCAGGAGTGATTCCTGAGTGCAGAGCCAAGAGTAGGGCCTGAGCATTGCCATGTGTCACCCAAAGAAGAAAACAAGAGCTCCAGGTCTGGGCTCAGGCTGAGATGGCTGTGGGTCCCCTTCCAGATGCCTCCAGTGTGACGCGCACTCACTTCCTCGTCCTGACGGCCGCCCCAAGGCCCTCAAGGAAGCAGGAGGGTTTGTTCCAGCAGAGGAGGAAACTCAGAACTCAGTCAGGATGACTCCTCCTCAGGGGCAGAGCTGCACACGCCCCCACTCCTTTCCTGTGGCAGTGACCAGAAACTGCCCACCTGGTGGGGATCCCATAGGGGGAGACCCTGTTCTTCACACTCGTGACCGAGGGGCTTCTGTGACCCCCCCCAACCAAAAGGGGTCCCCCGGGTCTGTGTCTTGGATGATCCAGAGCTGGGGGCTGTGAGCGCCCCAGCAAGCCTGTGCTATGGGGGTCCTACAGAAAGAGGGAGGATAAGGAGAGAGCAGGCGCCTGTGTCCCTGCAGAAGTGCCACCCTAGGACAGACCAAAGCCGGGTGCCAGATAAGCCCTCGCCAGGGATATGGGTGCGGGCTCTGGGGTTGAGGGAAACCAAGACACTCATGGTTAGGAATCTCCTCGATGGAGGGGTGTGTGGGGGGTTTAGGTGACTCCTAGGGGTGCTTGGGGCTACTCCCGCTCTCCACCCTGGGGACCATGACACTCCTGCCACTGATGAGGGCCGGGATGCAAGCGGGTCTGCCGGCAGCGTGCAGGCGATGCCTTGCCTTGCCCTGTCTTCATGACCCCCAGGTTAGGGATCTGTGAGGCCGCAAAGACCCTCAGCTTTCAGACCCTTCCTCCTTGGGGGCTGAGGAAGGAACGGGATCAAGGCCTGGCCTGGCTGGGGACTTCACTGGCTCACCTTCCCGCACCTTCCTGCACCCAAAGCCCCTCTGTGTGTGTGATCACTGGGGAGCCGGGGACAAGGGCAGGAACTGGCCACTCCAGGGCAGTCTGAGGCGGTCCCTCTCGGCCTTCAGCATGCAACTCCCAGGCCAGGCTGGAGAAGGGTGGGGGTGGGGGTGGGGGTGGAGGCTGGGGCAGGGCCGGCCACCCCGAGACCACAGGTGAGCCGGATGTAAACAGACCTTCAGGCTTACTCTCCCTGCCCCTCCCCACCCTAGGGTGGGGTGCGGTGGAACCCTTGATGTGCCCCAGCCCCTCGTGGGTATGAGAACAGGTCGTACTTTTGAGAAACCACAAGAGGAAGTTTAGGGAGGGCTTGGGTGTTCTGGGGTGGCTGCCAAGCCTTCCTGGCTCTGCCCAGCAGACGTGTGTTTCTTGCTTTCTTTTTTTTTTTTTTGCTTTTTGGGTCACACCCGGCGGTACACAGGGGTTCCTCCTGGCTCTGCACTCAGGAATTACTTCTGGCGGCACTCAGGGGATCCTACGGGATGCTGGGAATCGAACCTGGGTCAGCTGCATGCAAGGCAAACACCCTACCCACTATGCTATCGCTCCAGCCCCAGAGATGTATTTCTTGTACCCTCCAAGGCATTTATATTTAATTTCTTTTGGTTTTGGGGTCGCACCTGGCAGTGCTCAGGGCTTATTCTTGGCTGTGCACTCAGGGGTCACTCGTAGCAGGACTTGGGGGAATCATAAGTAGTTCCAGGGATGGAGCCCAGGTCGGCTGCATGCAAGACGGATAGCAGTTAAAGAGTTGCGAGGTCTGTCCCATTCTTTTTTTTTTTTGTGCCCCTCTCAGAGAGCCCGGCAAGCTACTGAGAGTATCTCACCCGCACGGCAAAGCCTGGCAAGCTACCCGTGATGTATTCAATATGCCAAACACACTAACAACAAGTCTCACGATGGAGATGTTACTGGG